GTTGTTTAACTACTTATTTCACTACTTAACCCTTATACACTTGTGTATATATATATATATATATATAACCATTCATTCATACATCCATTCATTCAAGTTCTGTGTATAGTTACCAGCCTGGAAGTTGCTTGTGACAGGATACTGGCCAGGTACTCTGTACACAAGTGATGGTAGTGGGGAGCGAAGTCCTGATCAGATGCGCATCTGAAGCTCCTGGTAGGCTGGCAGCAGAACCTTGGACTCTGATTCCATAGTTTTTTAGTCCAGTTCTTATAGGAATTTTTTCCTATGCCAGTCTATGGAAATTGCTGTATCATGCTGATGTCTCCAGGGTGGCTGCCAGGTGCTCATCAGTGATCTCATCGGGTGGACCTCCAGTTTCTCCACTTGACACCTTTTGGTTGCACTGGCACCTGACGCCTTCTTCAGCCCTTTGTTGCTGTATTCTCAGGCTGGCACCTCTTAGAACCATTCACTCATCATCCAGGCACTCTCTCTCTCTTACATACATTCCTTAATGTTTCCCATACAATGTTTTTGTATAATAATAACTTTACATATATCAGATTTTTTTTGCGCAAAAAGGGGCGCTAATTATGCAAATGAGGTGCAGCACTATTCCATGCTTAGCCTCATTTGCATATGTTTTTGCGGGAAAAGGCTACAATATAGACATAGCTCATGTGTGTTCAGGATCCTCTGAGAAATATCAGCCCAGAGTAGCCTAAAGATGGAGTCCAAACATATCTTTGGGAGTGGTTTATGGTGTGGTAGATTTTCAGTACAGAGGGGGTGGGCTCTACTCCAATTTTCAATTTAGATAATTAAAAATAATTTATCTTGGCAATTGATAGCATGAACATTACCAAAATACTAGTAATGATAAAAAGGGGGGGGGGAACCTGTGACCAAGTAAAGGGTTAATAGATTTCATTCTCTAGATCGGGGTGGGGAAACTTTTTTCAGTCAGGACCCACAATAAAATCAGTCAGAGGCCAAACACAAGTGGGAAGCAAAATTTAAAAAAGAGACACATCTCACTCACACTCCACTTGGGGTACTGAGGCTCTGCTCGTGCTCCCGTCCCGTGGGGAAGCCCGGACCTTTGCCACGGGCCAGATCAAAATAAGCCAGGTGCCAGATCCGGCTTACAAGCTGTAGGTTCCCCACCTCTGCTCTAGATGGTTAAACTATAGTAAATTAGATACGGAAGTGCAAATTCTGGGTGCAGAAAGTAGTTGAAGCAAAAGGTATTATCTACAAATCAAAAATCAATTTGGGGAGGTGTTCACGTGTCTCTAGGTCATTCACTCAGAAAACATGACTTTATCCTTCCGTACTTTTTTCGGTGGAATTGGGAGGACTATAATTGCGGAAAAGCACGTCTAGATTGGCCACGGACGCTTTTCTGGAAAAAGTGCTTTTCCAGAAAAGCGTCCTGCCAATCTAGACGCGCTTTTCCGAAAATGCTATTAACGGAAAACTTTTCCATTAAAAGCCTTTCCGAAAAATCATGCCAGTGTATACGTAGCCTTACTGTTTACCACTTTCCCAACATATAAATATGTTGAACAGGATTGATTCCAATGTGGTCCCCTGTGGGCCATCAACAGTTACCTCTCTCCATTCTGAAAACTGACCATGCTTATGTGCCTTGCAGAATCAAGTCAGGACAGAATCTGACCTTCATTCTCTGGGCTGCCTCTGTTATCCTTGTAAGGGTATGTCTACACTACAAAGTTAATTCGAACTAATGGACGTTAGTTCGAATTAACTTTGATAGGCGCTACACAAGCGCTCCGCTAGTTCGAACTTAATTCGAACTAGCAGAGCACTTAGTTCGAACTAGGTAAACCTCATTCTACGAGG